TACCAGCGTCCTCATTTTCATTCGTTCGATTGGGTGATAGTCCGGCTGAAAAAACACTCCACGATGGTTGTTTCGGAGCCTGGACTTTCGCGACAAGATGAGATTTGCTTGCTGTTCGTTTCCCAATACGACGTTCAGTGGTCTCGGCCGCAGTTTGTATGCGTTGTTTCTTACTAAAGGTCCCAAACGGAAGATCTTTTGGATTTCGACGACCACACCGGGTTCTTGCGTGTCATTGACTAGGTTTTGGAATGTCTGCAGATCGTGTTTCACCCTATCGTTCGGGGTATCACCAGGTGCTTCAGGAACTCCTTGCACTACCACACAACGAGATCTGTCGGGGAAAAAACCGGTGCTTTTATCCTGCCCTCTTTTGCTGGCGGTAGATGGAGTCTCAGGACGCCGTCCTCGGCTGCAAACGTCTCCAGCATCAGGACTGATTCGGCGACAACGACGCAGTCACCAGCAACCTGCCCTTCGAAAATAACAGGCTGCATAGAGCCTACTTCGGCAGTCCAACCAACGCAAACAAATCGGCCTGCTACCAATGCCACCACATTGTGCAGAAATGATTAAGAGAGATATAGGACGCCCGGATGGCTTGCAAGGCCGAAGAGGTCCAGGGATACACTGACTGCAACAAATTGAAGAAGTTCTTTAATGCGATTAGGGTGAGCTACGGCCTCTCAGTCAAAGGAATTCGCCGGTTCTCAGATCCGATGGATCAACACTTCTGATGGAGAAGTCGCATATTCTAAATCGCTGGGATGAGCACTTCAAAAACGTCTGACGCTGCCATCGGCCGGCTTTCCCAAGTAGGAATCAACTTCGACTTGGATTCCCTGTCATCCCTCCCAGAAACCATTTGTGCCGTACCACAACTCTCCAGCAGAAATGCATCAAGCCCCGACGCGATCCCAGATGAAATCTACAAGCACGAAGGCAACTGCCTGATGGATCAAACCATCACGTTATTTCGGAAAATGTGGCACTGTGGACAAGATCCTGGGGATTTCAAGGACACATCAATCCTTCACCTTCACAAACAGAAAGGGAACCACTAACTATGAGACAATCACAGCGGCATCTCTTGGCTGAACATAGCCGAGAAGACATCCGCCCGCGTACTCCTCAATCGTCTCAACAACCACCTAGAGCACGGACTTCTGCCAGAAGTTCACTGTGGATTCCGGTGATGCGACGCAGCTACCGACATCATCTTCGCTGCACGCCGGATACAGGAAAAGTGCCAGGAGATTCGAATCCACCCCTGCACTACTTTCATGGGCTTGACGAAAACCTTGGACACGGAAAATCGTGAAGGACTGCAGGATATCATGCAGAAATTCGGCTGTTCTGGACGATTCCCACACCCGGTGCGTCAGCTTCACGACGGGATGATAGCACGCGTCACGGACAACGGCGCAGTCTCCTATGCATTCATAATGACAAATGGAGTGAAGCAGGGGTGCGTTGGGAAGTGATTAGGCTATCCAGGGAAAGAAGATAGCAGTATCCCAACAGTTACAAACTAGTAAATTATAACAAAGTCATCAGCAGGTAAAAATGCACGTGCTTGTCCTATGTCTCATTCAAGGTTGTGTCACGTTCTTTTAAAATGCGTATGTAACCGAGTAAAACAAAACGAATTTCAACGTCACTACAATGCTCCCCCTCCTATGAGAACGGAGTTGTTCGGTTGGTGAAGTTGAAAGGGGCTCTGTATAAGTCAACTTCAAGCGATCGACTGAGACCGCGTCGGTGCGACCTCCACGGGCAATTGTAAAATGCTTGTCCGTGCGAGATAGTACTCGAAATGGGCCGTCAAAGGGCTGTTGTAGTGGCTAATGAACATTATCTACGCGGAAAAAAATAAAAGAACATGTTAGTAAGTTCGGGTCGATGTACGACGTAGCTAGTGCACGTGCACGTGGAGGAGTGGCTCGAAGGTGAATCATGGCTTGGCGCAAATTTTGCACATAATCGCTGGAATCCAAGTCGGCTGAGTTTTGAGAGCATCTGAAAATATCACCGGAAATTCGTAGGGTAGTGCAATAGACAAGTCCGGCAGCGGAACACTCCAAGTCGTGTTTGAGTACAGAACGGATACCGAGCATGACCAAAGGCAGATGCTCGCCCCAATAGGAAGGAATGTCGTGAGGTCGGAACGAGTCTTTCAATTGCCGATGAAAACGCTCGACTAAGCCGTTGGATGAGGGGTGGTATGCTGTCGTGCGTAGGCGAGAACATCTGAGGAGATTGTTAAAAAATCTGGACTCCAATTGTTGGCCTCGATCGGTGGTAACAGTTGAGGGGACGCCATAATGGGAGACCCAGTGTTCCAAAAAGGCATGAGCGACGGAATCTGCAGTTATGGTAGATATGGGAGTTGCAATGGGCCAACGAGCAAATCGGTCAGTTGCAGATGTCTTGTACTTTCACAGAGAGTGGCAGTGGTGGACGTTAGAACCATAATTATGATGATGCCAACAGAAACCATAAACTGTAGGTTGGTTTGGAGTGACAGATCTCAGGCGGCGAGTAATCGAAGGACTACGACTGTAATGGACACGAGTGGACCGGAGCTGGGAAACTTTGAGAGTGAGGGCATCCAGGCGTTTGACGACATCGCCAATGATAGATGTCGTTAAAACCAGAGTAGAAAAATTTACCGAAGTAGGTGATCGATAATATTCGAGTTTCCGATCAGCTGTCTCGGCCACCGTTTGAGCTGATGAAGACGGGATATTGGGTGCAAAAATAGCTTGCACTGAGGTAGGCAGCCGCTGGAGGAAACGCTGCTCGGCAATGGTGCCGTCTAAATCTTGTCCCTCAGCGAGCTGCTCCAGACGCCTAGGAAGCTGAGTTTAATTTAATTTATTTTATTTAATTTATTAAATTCCAGTTTACAGGCATTGTCAAGGGAAGCGGTTAAACACAAATCCGACCAGCAGTGAAAAAAAAACTACTGAGGAATACAAATATAGTTGATGGTGGTTTTTATGGTTTGGAGGGTTCAGGAGAAAAAAAACTGCTGGCGGTAGATTTTCGACCGTCAAGAAGGGGGGGAGAGGGTTGCACGGTATCGGAGATTATCGGGCGTCAGTTCCTTTCATGTAGTTGGGGATAGTCAAAGTAGAGGCGTTGAGGAACAGCTGGTGAGACCGGCCATAGTGTTCAGAGACCACAAACGCCATCGCTACGGTAGAGTCGATCATTGGATTCAGAACCCAAAATTTGAGGAAGCTTTTCTGAATGCAAAAATCGAGTAATAGTTCTCTTAAATAAAGGATAATTTTGCAGAGTTTTCACACTCATTGGTAGTTTATTCCAAATAGCAATTGCATTTACAGAATAGAACCGACGATCTTTAACAGCACGTGCCAGAGGCAGAAATAAGAAGACCTCACGGTGACTGTTACGTCGAGGGTGAATATGATGTCTTAAAGAAGTGAGTGGGTTAAATGTGTGATTATATAAGAGTTTAAATAGCAAAAATAGTCCCTTTTGTAATCTACGGAACCATAAAGGATGAAGGCCCGTAAGCCGGCAACGTTCTTGGTAAGACAAATGTCGGTGTTCCGGGGTTAAAATTCTCTTGGTAAAAAAGTGTTGAACGGATTCTAGTTTCTTCCGCTCAGTAGCACGCATGAGGCTAAATGAAGACGAACACTATTCCAGACCAGGTCAAACGTAAATGTTGTAAAGGCGCATTCTGATGTCCCTAGTTTTAAAGTTTCGGAGGATAAACCCGGTCGTTCTGTGTGCTTTGGAGACTATCAAGGCACAGTGCTCCGAGAAATTGAGACTCTTGGAGTATGATACGCCCAAATCCTTAATAACCCCAGGCACATTTATGGCGTGACCTTCAATATTTAGTTGAGGTTTGTGGTCGTCGCCAACCACCATGACTGAGCACTTATGCCAAGAAAGAGAAAGGCGCCATGTGCGGCACCACTGGGCAAAGCCTTAGATCGCTCTTTAGGAGCTCAAGCACGATGTCACGATCTGCCGGCTTATATCGATATGCAACTTTAAGATCATCGGCATACATGAAAGGCTTACCATTCTGAAATAAATCGGGTACATCATTAACGAAAAGGCAAAATAGAAGCGGGCCGAGTACACAACCCTGAATGACTCCACTCCTTACACGTGTGGGGTTGGAGATGGTATTGGAAATCTTAACTCGTTGTGTACGAGTGCCCAGGTAAGAGGATATAAAATTCAAAAGTTTGCCACCTATTCCGAAAGTTGGCTTGCTATCACCATGGTCCTCTTCAAAAATTAAACTCTGAAGGCGTTTTTGTGTTAATGGTGTAACACGGAACATAAGGACCTCTTTTGGCTGGTAACGGGAGTCTCCGTGAGTAGACTGTCCGTAATATCATGGAGGTCTGTTGCAATCTCCAGTGGCAATGCGGTCACGAAATAATGAAATTTTGTCTCCTCCTTCGTGATTTGACGTAGAGCAAAACGAGATTCGACTTTACGCGGGCAAAGGTCGTCACTGAGCCAGCAGGTTGGAAGGTCGAGTGTGTGAATGACAGCAATTGGCTGCACAAAATTATCGCCGAACATTAATTGGTCAAAAGTCACAAAACTGGTTGTCAGGTGAGGTCGCCTTTTGGTGGTTTGGAAATGCTGTCCTCTTATTGGTTAAAAGCGACGAATTTTGTCAGTCGAAGACGGGCTGACCAAAAAGGCGCGGTTGTGTGGAACTTGTTAGCAAGTTAATTTAGTTGATAACGCAATCAAATCGAGGGGTCACCATTTGTTAGGAAGTGAGTATGCTATCCAGGGAACGAAGATAGCAGTATGGCAACAGTTACAGATAATAAATAAGAACAAAGTCATCAGCAGGCAAAAATGCACGTGCTTGTTCTATGCCTCATTCGAATTTGGGTCAAGTCCTTTAAAATGCGTATTGCAATTGAGTATAACAAAATGGAATTAAATGTCACTTCGGGTGCATACTCGCTCCCATCCTCTTTATCCGCATGCTGTCTGCCATGCTGATGGACGCCTACTGTGATGACTGCCCCGGGATCAGCATCGCCTACAGGACCGTTGGGAATCTTCCAAACAGTCGGCGAATGCAGGCCCCAGCGCGTCTCTCTACAGCTATTATCCGCGATTTGCCCTTCGCCGGCGACTGCGCACTCATCACTAAAACCAACATGGGCGTGCAACGAAGCATAGACCTCTTCCACATCGGGTGTACCAACTTCGGACTGACCACCAACAAGAACGAAACGGTGGTAATTCATCAACAGCCACCGAACGCTGAACACATTTTCCCTCGGACCCACGCCAACGGCACCGAAAGGAAAGCCATGGTGGAAAACTTCTGCCCGCTTAAGAAGTGATCGTGCGTCTCCAACCAGAGTGGGTGTCATCGGAAATAAAAAGAGATCTTAGAAATAAAAAGAGACTGCGGGAGAGATACGCCAAATGTCGACAGTTCGAATATTTATCAGAATTTAGGAAACAGCGAAATAGGTGTCAAAGTCTCCTGAGGAGAGAACAAGCAGCATATGTGCCAAATACAGTCAAATAAATACCAAAAACCAAATAACTTCTTCGCATGTGGGAATAGCACAAAACGCAATCGGGACTCCATGCCCTGTCTAAAGAGTTATGAAGGAAATAAGTTAGCTGCAACTTCTTCATGTCCGTTTATATCGAGGAGCTGCCTTTTGATAAAGAAGTACACCGGCAAATTGCCTAACCTTGAAATACAATTAACACGGCGACGTTCACAACGGACGCAGTACGGAAAACCCTGGGACAGCTACAACAAACTAAATCGCCTGGGTAAAATGGTAGATCGGCAAAAGTTCTGAAGGAACTGGCAGACCATCTAGCCTCCCTGCTCTCCAAGATCTTCGAAAGTTCAATAGAGGAGAGAGCCTGCCTACTGACTGGAAGCTAGCCAACATAGGCCCCGTATATAAAGGGGAGAGAGAACCTCGACAAATAGCTTCAGACCAGTGAGTCTCACAGGCGTTTGCTGTAAATTAATGGAGAAAATAATAAAAAGGAATTGATGAGACATACTGAGGAGAACGACTTACTTAGTGAGCATCAAAATGGATTTGGAGGCCATCAATCCTGTCCAACTAACCTGCTCACATCAATGGAAAGCTAGACGAAATCCTTATAGATGGGCTTGTCAGCCGGTGCAGTATACATTGCCTTCAGCCGAGCCTTTGAAAGGATGCCACACAGTCGGCTCTTATCTAAACTGCGCCAAATGTGTGTGACTGGTAACCTACTCTAGTGGTTAGTCGACTTCCTCACGGGCCGACGTCAGCGTGTGCGCACTGATGACGCCAAATCAGAGTGATAAACCGTTCACAGTAGGGTTCCTCAGGGGAACGTTCTGGGTCCCATGCTGTTCTTAATATATGTACATGATTACCTAGATTGTTTGACCTGCCAGTTGATAATGTTCGCCAATTATCTGAAGATGTGGGGTCCAAATGAAAGACCGGAGGACGCGCCAAACTTGCAGATTAACTCGGATCGACTGCAACAGTGGTGTGATGAATGGACTCTCAATCTAAAATTTAACAAATGTCAATTTGTCTGACTAAGATCTGATTAAAGAAAGGATTTGAGATCTGAGTATCACTATTTCCTCGGCAGTCACGAACTCGAGCTCGTAAACGACGTAAAGGACCTAGGCATGGGGATGACGCCCACACTCAAACCCTCTTCTCGCTGCACCATGCCATGTTGAGGCAACTGTATCTACATCGCAACGGCCATCACGTGGGGATGAAGACACACGCCTACCGAAACAACTCTTCTTTGGTGATGTCGCCAAGGGCACTCGTTTACAAGCAGGGCAAAAACGGCGCTACTGGGGATCTTTGAAGGAGCTTTGAAAGAGCGGTAGATAAGCCCGATGACCTGGGAGGACCTCATCCAGAAAAAGCCGGCATGACGGAGGGAGGTGAAGACCGAGGCCACCACCTACGATGCAAATCGGATCGTCCTCATCAAAGCCAAAAGGGAGTATTGAAAGTCACAAGTGCCTCGACCCATCCATGCCAACAGTCAGCCGATTCCAACATGTCCACGCTGCCAACGCCCATTCCGCGGGCCAACCGGCCTTGTGAGACAACTTTGGACGCAATGCACAAACAACCCGACAACGTCAACTTCCCTTCCCACTCTCGCGCCTGTCGCAATCCCCGCGCAGACCTTCACCCCCGTCACTGGTGACCACACTTTCGTTGCCCTCCTGTCATCAATAACCGATATCATCCATTCTCCGCCAAACTCTGCGCCGGCCACAGCGACTAGCTCCACCACCACGACATCATGCACTCTCCCTCGATGAGAGGACATCTGGCATTCTTCTACCTTCTACCATCACCACCAACATCTCAACCCCGGGGAATGTGGACTCGGCCCATCGTGTCCTAATTGCGATCACACATTCAGCTCACGCATAGGCCTGGCCAGTAAATTACCAATCCATCGTACAGAGACTGGCGAACTAGTACCTACTTCAACACCTTCAGAACAAAGGGCTTAATTCGAATGAAAGGGTAACTATTCACGCAGCCTTCAGGATCGGAAAGAAGGTGAGCGAACAATCGGAAACTGTGCGGCCACGACCTCTGAAAATCGTTTTGGGTAGTAAAGCGGAGACTGGCTTACTTCTGTCCAGGAAAAGCTGTCTCCGAGACTCTCACAAGGAAGTTTTTTTTCAACCGGACTATTCTCCAGCGGAACGTCTGAAACGCCGCGACTTAGTGACGGAGCTGAAGAGGAGACTTGCAGCAGGAGAGAGCAACTTGGCTATTTTCAGGGGACGAGTGATACAGAGGAATGCGATGCTGCTTTGGAACCAGCCAGTCATCATGATGGCGACAGCAACATAATATTGTCAAGCCGAGACAAACCGAACGAAGTACTGTCAAATGTTGCAAACTTAAATTCTTTTACACCAATGCTCAGAGTCTGTTTTCCAAGCTCGATGAAATGAGAATACAGGCAGCCGATACTCCTCCCGATATTATAGCAATAACAGAAACGTGGCTGTCAGAGAACGTGGATGATTGCGAGGTAGCACTAACAGGATAACAATTGTTTAGGAGAGAAAGGAGGGGCCGCCGGGGTGGAGGAATTGCCATGTATGTAAAGTGCAACTTAACAGGGTGTGAGAGGACGGACAAAATTTCTAACGATACAGAGGCAATTTGGCTGACTATAAAGGCACGGAGGTCTCAGTCCCTCGAAGTCGTAACTATCTACCGGCCCCCTCAGGCGGATCCCGACTCGGACACTTGTCTACTGGAAAGCATAAAAGAGATCGTCAGTCGACCAGACGTTGTTCTCATGGGGGATTTTAATGCACCCTGCATTCAATGGAGCGATATGCATGCGAATTGCTCGAAGAATGCCTTCGATTACCGTTTACTAAATACAACCCTAGAGGCTCTTCTCACGCAACGTGTCCTATCTCCAACTAGAGCACGTGGAGGGCAACAGGCTTATTGTCTGGGCCTCGTCTTCACCAAAGATCCTGACAGTATAGACGAGGTGTACTACCTATCCCCGCTCGGTCGAAGCGATCATGCAGTACTTTTATGGGAGTACGAGCTGTATTCTGGACCGTATAAAAAAGAGGATACGAGGCCGAATATATGGAAAGGGGACTTTTGCCAAATGAGAGCTGAGGCATCACAAATAGACTGGGATGTTCTCTTCTCCGGAAACGTTAACGAGGACTGGAATTTATGTAAGGGTTGGTTATTGCATCTAATGAAGAGCCACTGTCCCGTATCAATGCCGAGGACATCAAACCGACCTCAGTGTCTAACACGAGAACTAAAAAAGGAGATCAATAAGAAAGGAAGATTGCGGAAGAAATTTCGGGAAAACAACAACATTGCAGCATTTACAGAATATAAAGTTCAAAGAAATAAGGTGAAAAGCCTGATTTTCAAGAGGCGACGGGATTTTGAGAGTAATTTGCTTCACCGAGCCGTTAAAAATCCGAAATTGCTCTACAGCTATTTGCGGAAGAGCACACGTAACAGGAATCCCATTCCTGTCATGGGGAATGATGAAGGCTTGGAGATATCGGACAGTAAAAATAAAGCTGAGCATTTTTCTCAATATTTCCAATCCGTTTTCACAGGAGAAGCAGACTTTATTCCCACTAGTTCCGCGAACATGGGAGATCCCACTATCGAAGATATCGTGTTTCGAGAATCAACGGTTTTGGAAGAACTAAGAAGCTTGAAGGAATGTAAATCTCCCGGTCCGGACGAGATCCCAGCAAAGCTGCTTTTTGAGCTTGCCCGAGAGCTGGCCAAACCACTATCCTTTCTGTGCCAGGAATCGTTCGATGCTGGAATCTTTCCCACAGACTGGAAGCCGGCCCGCATTACACCCCTTTACAAAAGCGGTAGTCGTGCTCTTGCAACGAACTACAGACCCGTCAGTCTGTCATCAGTCTGCTGCAAAGTGATGGAGAAAATCATCAAAAAGGAGTTGATGACTTATCTGGAAAGTCACAATCTCTTGTCCAATGTACAATATGGTTTCCGTAGGGGAAGATCATGTGTAACGAACTTGCTATATACAATGCAAAGTTGGACAAGAGCACTGGACGCAAAACACACTGTGCACGTGGCCGATATTGATTTCCGGAAGGCGTTCGACAGTGTCCCGCACCAACGTCTCCTGCACAAGTTGAGAATAATGGGCATCGGCGGCAAACTTCTCAAATGGATCGAGAACTTCCTCGTCGGCCGTTCCCAAATTGTCTGCATAGAAAAACAGCAATCAAGGCGCACATTCATAGGGAGTGGAGTCCCACAAGGCTCGGTGCTCGGACCAACCCTCTTTCTCTTGTTAATCAATGCTTGTGTAGATGGGTTGGACTGTGATAATGCCATGTTTGCGGATGGTATAAAAATCTGGAAAGTTATCCAGAATGCTACCGATGAGACCAACTTCCAAGAAAATCTCTGTCGATTGGACGAGTGGTCCCGCAGATGGCTCTTGTCCTTCAATTTGACCAAATGTACCCTACTGCGCCTCGGAAATCAGACCCCTAGTACGCGGCAATACCATCTGAACGGAATACCACTTCGAGAAGCAGAAACGCAGAAAAATCTAGGAGTCTGGGTTGCAGACAAACTTAAGCCTTCTACGCAATGTTGTAAGGTGGCCAAGGCCGCACCTCGAATATGCAATTCAGGCCTGGAGACCATGGACACATCAGGATTACAATCTGCTCGAAAGGGTGCAGAGGCGAGCCACAAAATTAGTAAGAAGTCAAAGTGCACTGCAATACGAGATCCGCTTAACTAACCTTAATCTCTATCCTGTGAGTTATAAGCAGCTGCGCGGAGACTTGATACAAACTTTCCGTATCGTGCGTGGCTTGGACTGCGCCCTTCGGTGCGATGAATTTTTCCAACTCGCCACAACAACTAACCTCCGGGGCATCCCTTAAAGCTACGTGTGCCCCAGAGTAGATTGAATGTGAGGAAATATTTCTTCTCCAACCGTGTCGTGGAACCGCGGAATAATCTGCCCGAGACGGTTGTCATGTCTCAATCTGTGGCGACATTTAAATGTAGACTTGACAGACATATGCTACAGCGCCAAGCGGACTATGCGACTTTTTAGCCATGAGACCTGTGTCATATGTGAATCAGTGCCTGCATACACTTACTGCTGTAATTTCTTCACATTCTGCTAATTTATCGATTTTTTATGTACAAATAGGGAGTTCAAAGGTGTAAGCCTATTTCCCTCAAAAACACTGACTGACTGACTGAGAGTGCTAACTCGCCGCATTCGCCTCCACTGTCCACACCGGCCCCGCACATTTAACCCCCCTCCACAATCCGCCTATTACGTCACATGCGCATTAGCAAAAATTTGCGGCAGACAACCGCAGGCCATACCACTCCATCATACCTTCAGCCCACAGCGCCTAAAAAACACATCACGTATGCAAGGAGTGTGTGCACACATGGGTAACACCTCTCAGTCAATGATTGACTGGCTATTCAGCCTTTGAAGGGTCATGGCCTAAGTTAACTGCATGGATGCATCTCACTCTTCTGGGCCTTGAGGATCATGTGCGTCTGCTATGCCCTGATCCATCAAACCATGGCACTCGCAGCGTGGTATGCGTTGGTAGTTATTTGGCATCTGGTCCCCTGCCGATGGATGCATTTGTGCTCCCGCTGTGTATACAGACCGTGTGTGCGTGTGTGTGTGTAGGTAGGTAGGTAGATGCTACGCAAGTCTACTGGCACTATAAACCCCTGCGTAAGTCACCGTCCCTGCTCCCACAATGCAGTCTGTGGGGCATCGGTGGACATCGTCGAAATCGACGGTCGAACTGTCGTCGTGTGTGTGTGAGAGAGAGAGAACACCACCTCATCCTGACGAACACGTTCTTCTGTCTGCCGGAACGAGAGAAGGCGACCTGGAGGCATCTTCGGTCGCGTCAGTGGCACCTGCTGGACTATGTCCTCGTCCGAAGGCGGGATCAGCGGGACGTGCTGGTGACGAAGGCGATCGCGGGTTCTGACGGGTGGACTGATCATCGCCTCGCCATCTCGAGGATGCGTATTCGCCTACAGCCTCGCAGGAGACCACAAGGTAAGCGACCCCCAGGTAAACTGAATACTGCCTTACTGTCTTTGCCAGCTCGCCACCTTCATTTCAGCAATGAGTTAGCTCAACGGCTAGACAACCTTCCTATCGCTGCCGACGCCGCCGCTGCCGAGAACGCCTCCGTGGAGAACCGCTGATGTCAACTGCGAGACACGGTCCAGTCGACAGCGCTCGCCGTCCTCGGTCGCGCTCCCCGCCAACACCAGGACTGGTTCGACGACAACAACGCCGTCATCAGCAATCTGCTCGCCGAGAAGAACCGCCTTCAAAAAGCCTACGTAGACCACCCTACTGACGACAACAGAGCTGCTTTCTACTGCGGTCGCCGTCACTTTCAGCAACGACTGCGCGAGATGCAGGACGCCTGGACTGCTCGTAAAGCTGACGAGATCCAAGGCTACGCTGACCGCAACGAATGGAAGAACTTCTCTGCGATCAAAGCTCTCTACGATCCGCCGACGAAGGGCACTGCCCCTCTCCTCAGCGCCGACGGCATCACCCTCCTGACTGAGAAGACACAAATCCTACAGCGATGGGCCGAGCATTTCGGAGGAGTCCTCAACCGCCACTCCGCCATCTCCGACGCTGCCATCCACCGTTTGCCGGAAGTGGAGACCAACGTGGACCTCGACCTCCCGTCATCTCTCCAGGAAACCATCAGGGCCATGCAGCAGTTCTCCAGTGGGAATGCACCCAGATCGGACGCAATCCCTGCTGAGGTCTACAAGCACGGAGGTCCCCAACTGATGGATCACCTGACTGCGCTATTCCAGGAGATGTGGCGTCAAGTAGATGTCCTGCAGAATTTCCAGGACGTCATAATCGTCGTCATCGTGGGACCACGGATATGATCTTCGCCGCCCGCCAACTACAGGAGAAGTGTCAGGAGATGCGGACCCACCTGTACTCTACCTTCGTGGAGCTGACAAAAGCCTTCCACACGGTGAATCGTGAAGGACTGTGGAAGATCATGCAGAATTTCGGCTGTCCGGAGCGATTCATTCAGATTGTGCGTCAGCTGCACGACGGTATGATGCCGCGAGTCACGGACAACGGAGCTGTCTCAGAGGCATTCGCAGTGGTCAACGGAGTGAAGCAGGGATGCGTGCTGGTGCCTACCCTCTTCAGTCTTATGTTTTCTGCCATACTGATGGACGACTACCGTGATGAGCATCCCGGGATCCGCATCGCCTACAGGACGGACCATCATCTCCTGAATCAACGCCGCATGCACTTCCGATCGCGCGTATACACAGTCACCGTTCACAGGCTTCTCTTCGCTGACGACTGCGCCCTGAACACCACCTCGGAAGAGGAGTTGCAACGCAACATGCACCTGTTCTACGCCGCCTGCGAGAACTTCGGTCTGGTCATCAACACGCAGAAGATGGTGGTGATGCACCAACCGCCACCCAACTCAGCCACTCCCGCCAGCGCGCCGCAAATCAACGTGAACAGAACCCAACTGCAGGTGGTGGAGAACTTTCCGTACCTGGGCAATACCCTCTCCCGCAACTCCAAGATCGATGACGAAGTCGCCAACAGAATCTCGAAAGCCAGTCAAGCCTTCGGTCACCTCCAAAGCACAGTTTGAAATCGCCACGGTCTTCAACTGAACACGAAGCTGAAGATGTACAAGGCCGTCATCCTGTCGACGCTAATGTACGCAGCGGAGACCTGGACGGTGTACACAAAGCAGGCACGCCGACTGAACCACTTTCACCTCAGTTGTCTTCGTCGCATTCTGAGGCTGAACTGGCAGGATCGGATCCCCCACACTGATGTGCTGGAACGGACGGGAATCCTCAGCATATACACCATGCTGAGACAAATGCAGCTGCGCTGGAGCGGCCACCTGATGCGCATGGACGACGAGCGACTACCCAAACGACTCTTCTACGGAGACGTCGCGATGGATTCTCGCCGCCAAGGAGGCCAAATTAGCCGATACTAGGACTCTTTGAAATCCTCCCTGAAGCGTCTGCAAATCAACCCGACCAACCGGGAAGAGCTCGCACTTGACCGACAGACCTGGAGGAGAACAGTGAAAACATGCGCTGCGATCCACGAAGCCAGCCACATCGCCGCCGCCAAAGCGAAACACGAAGCAACGTCGATGCACAACCGCTTCCAACGTGTTCTCGGTGTCAACGGACATTCCGGGCACAAGTTGGACTCATTGGACACCTTCGAACAACTGTATCTCTCGAACGACACCAACCGTCGTTCCTCCGCCTGCCTCTTCCTCGTCCTCTCCGCAGCCAAATAACTCTGTCAATTCTTCTGAACCACCACTTCCATCATCCTCCTCCACTGCTCCAACGACGGCCGCTAAGGCGACTGTCACGCACGCAACAACCGACACCACACCCACTGCCTCCGACTCCAGCGATGAGGGTCAGGACTACACTTGTCCACACTGCGACCGCACCTTCACTTCACACATCGGCCTGATCGGTCACTTACGAATCCATCGCACACAGACTGGCGAACCAGTGCCTGGAGCACCAACCTATACCCACCGCACCCGCCTCCACTGCCTACACTGCCCTCGCACTTTCATGCATCGCATGGGCCTATTCGACCACATACGCATCCACGACGGCCTGCGGTATACAACCGTCGGCTACACCTCACATTCACACACTCCCTACCTCCTCCACCACCATCATCACCCACACCACACACCAACAATCACCCACTGCATGCACCCAACTGCCGCCTCCCACGCAAATGCAAATTGTGCATCTCGACTCGTTCCCCATGCGGCTTCGGCTGCAGGGGTGACTTGAGCCTGAGACTATCACGACACGTCAAGCGTCGTGGATAGGAAGGTTGCTGATTGACGCCCGCTCTCGGTTCACGCAGTTCGTCGCGTCGTGTGTGTGCTGTGTTGAGTGGCGGACTGGTAGGCTGGGGACGGGCTGAAGCAGCACCTTCCACGGCACTCTCACGCAAGTGAGAGACACGCCGTTCAACCCCCGTTGTGTGAAATCCTGGTGTTTGTGTTTATGGGGGGCCATGTCGTGCATGTGGTGCACGCAGTCATGGTCCGTCGACCCGGCCTGCCACCTCGCCCATTTCCGACTCCAGTCTGATGACCTTCTCGGACAGTGGCTGGGGCGTGGGATTGGGAGGGGAGAGTGAGGTCGACGACTCAGCGCACTTTCCTCACTATAAAGAATCTGACGCGCTGGAAGCTATCACGGTGCGCTAAAACCCGTGGCTTGGTATGTTGCTAACTGGCGGTATATCTTGTACCTCCTCCTCGACCCGAGCAGGTCTGAGAGTCAGGCTGCAATGACTCCTTTTTATTGTGCCCTTCATGGCACTACCACCACTGTGTGAGATCCGAGCCAGGCGTTGGCGGCACGCCTAGGTGCGGCTTCGGTCGTGCCAGCCTCCAAACTTTGTTGTGTTGGTGAAAATCCTGGTTATTTGTTGTGTGGACCAGGGGGTGTGGTGGAACGCCAAGGTGAGGATCCGTCCGAGCCATCCACCTGCGGCCTCCTCCGTCTCCGGTCTTTTTGACTCTGTCTTGACAGCGGGCTCAGGCGGGGGAGTAGGAGAGTGTGTAGGTAGGTGCAGCACAAGTCTACTGACACTATAAACCCCTGCGCAAGTCACCGTTCCTGCTCCCACCGCTGCTGCAGCTGTGGGGCACACGGTGGACATCGTCGAAATCGACGGTCGAAATGTCTACACTGTAAATTGCGTCATCGGTTTTTGTTGCTGGTTCAAATCCTTGTAAACTGCATATTGTGTACTAGAAGATGTGGTGGTACGCCTAGGTGCAAGTCCGGCTGTACCAGCCAACTGCGTTCCATCTCACTTTCGCTCCTCTTGTCTCCGACTCGACACAGGAGTCAGGCGGGGAGGATGAGAGAGCTCAGTAAATGCTATGCAAATTTCCTACCACTGTCAACTAATTTACGCACAACTCACCGCACCCGCTATCACTTTGCTGGAGGGCACAAGGTGGACGTCGTCGGCAACGACAGTCAAACTGTCACGTGTTCGCCCAGAACAAGAGAGTCGTCAGGACGACCACTACGTACAAGCAGAAACAAGAAGACGATTGGAACCACGTGTACAGTCCTAGATGGCGCCTGTTCATTAAAAGGAATGAGGAGTCCATTAATTCCGTATAATTCAGTATATATGAGGGATAGAGACAGAGCCTTGGAAAACCCTATTTACATATAGACGTTTGAAAAAACATCCGGATATGTACATAGAAGATATGCCAGTCATTGATATCATGTAAAGGTTTGACAATGAGGCATAAATTTATCTAGTCATCTTTTGAAGGTCTCAGCGTTTTCCGCTAAGACAACGAAGTTCAGCGATTTGTTCCATCCCTCAACCAGCCTGTGGGAGAAGAATTAAGCCCCCAATTCGCGTTTGGCATATTTTGTCTTCAATTTGTATTGGTGCCCTCGAAGGTTTGTCGTCCGCGCCAGTTTGAAGAAATCGTCAAACTGTAGAGCGCAATCTAGCTCTCGGACGATCCTGAAGGCCATGATCATATCCCCTCTGTATTGTCTATAAGAGAGAGGAAGTATTGTTGGCTTTTCCAGCCGTACCTCATAAGGTAAGCTACTTAACCTGCCAACCAGATTTGTCGCTCTTCGTTGTACGTTCTCCGTTGGGTGTAATCTTTTTCTGATTATTGCCAACTTCCTAATAATACCATCCTGCAACTTCCAATATGGACTACTATTTATTCAACTTCAGTGCACTCACATCACGTAGGAATAAAAAAAAACGGGGACACTCTAGCTCTAAAGCATTTTTCATTTATTAGCGTAAGGCTTAAGCTTGGTTGGGTCGTTGACTTACATCGTGAATTGCCCACATTCATACAGCAAGTTTTGGTAGATGATTAGCTAATTTCAAGTTTCGGTCTACATTCCTATTTGCTGAGGCCCTTTCCTTTATCTACATCCTGGTCAAAACCATTTTTGTCTGTTTTGACTATTCTTCCTAACTTAACTTGTCGCTCGCCGTCTCGCCTCTGAACCTCGTATATTTGAATTTCTTCTAAGTGTTCCAGTGTTCACCTTCGGTGTTGCGCGCCTACATATTTCTGTATTTTATTACCTGTCATTCTGGTCTCCATCGGGACGAACGTGGACTCGTAAATATGAAAAATTTCTCTTGACGTCCCTGGCAGACGTAATGGGGATATTGACTAGTTCTCGGTCTTCCGGTTGTTTCTGTTTAGAAGTTAGTGCTGGGTTTACAGTCGGTTGGTTGCGCATTTGGCCGCTTTCTGCACTTTCCGGAGAATGCATGTTACTTCTAAACCCCTCTGTTAGTTACTGTGGGCATGGATACTGGCCTGGGTGGGATTCGTAGTGCCCCGCTTCTCGGAAAGAAGGTTTATATGCATTATGAACCTGGGACGCGCCCAAATACGAGCACAGAACGCATCTTATGTCTGCTGAAAGCTGTAAGTGTATCCGTGTTATAGATTAGCTTATGTCCAAGATGCTAGCCTTCATATTCTTCCTAGTCTGTTAACAGTCATCAGCATTTAGTGGACTTTGGTGGCATTATGCTAACAACCGAATGGCACTTGCTATTTCATTACTAGTAAAGTGCTGTTTATGTGGCTGGCTGACATGGCACAATCCGCGCGAATCCTGTGCCGTACCCGCCAACATATGCACTGCTTTTCCCATTCAACGCACGCCCATTATGCGTAATCAATATGGTCGTTCATGGGATTTCTCGCAGTCTCGTAATGAGACCGTGCGATGTCTCTGCAGCCTTCCCCCACAGTAGACGCTCACGTTATGGCACGCGCATCGATGTGTGTGCGCGTCAACGCACAGTGCCTGCCATCACGATTTAAATTCCTGCCAATTCAGCCTCACAGGGGCTAGAATTAACTTAGTTTATGCACTAAATCGCTGCGGGATGTAATAGATTTCGAACTCAGTAGAGGCTAATGGGTCCGATGTGTGTGGTGAAGTTTACAAATTTCGACATGCCGCCGTGGTGTATTAATTAGACATTTAACGAGTATTATTTCGGATTTTCGAGAGCTCGAGGGAGTTTATCGTCGTTTGGATTTGTATTTCAGTCAGTATGTGGAAAATTCTGCGGTCCTCACAGATTTTCGTGAAGTCTTAATCGACTGGAGTTACTGGCAATCCCAGTTACTTTTTGCCAGCAGTCCTGGATCAAAATACACTTAATCTCTTAGTAAAAATAAGAAATCAACAAAACGCCTCCGCCTATCAGCGGAGGCCTTGCTTGCATTCCTCTGACTTCCCAAATTTATTTTGATTTATCTCCGTGACTGTTAATAGCCCTGGTCCCTTTGTCAAGTATTCACATTGTCCCCTGTCTTTCTTCTCACCTAATATCATGTTTACAAGTTTCCCCTGTTTCTTTATCGCCTTTGGATCCAAAACATTAGGAAATTGTACAGTTCTTTGACCGTGAAGTTGACTATGTCATCACGAACGTGCCGGGCTCCAGACTTTTGGCTTTGTCATCACCGTCACCGTCATCAAAATCGTCTCCATCCGCACTCAAAGAAAATGTCGATCCAGGAGTCCAAAGTACACCTCCAGTTCACCCATCTACCTCACAAATAAGACAGTCAACAATTCTTTCCAAACTTAAGGATTCGAATAACGAAATCCAACGTGTATCAAATCTCGTCAGAAAAGATACCCAACTGAAGGCTGTTACTCGAGGTCGGGCCATGTTGCTTGCTGCGTCCAAGGCTTCCAGCGCTAGCATTCCTAAGGGCGTCCAAGCACCTACCGTGTCCTCTGCCTTTGAGCAATCCGGCTGTACAGTAAGCAGTTTTCCGCTATGTTGAGCATCCTGTTATGTTCCCTTCACTGATGTCCATGGGTTCTGAGAGCCCTTTTTTGACCAATTTAACTTAATTAACACCTTCTTTTCTAACTTCCTCTCGATTAAGCATACATC